ATGGAAACGGCTCGCCTGCAATGCTCCCTCTAAGCTGTGGAGTCTCGTGAGCAAGAATTCTACTTTCTGAGCTACCGGCATTAAAGTTGTGAGTGAGCGATTTGGCTGCTGCATCAATTAGTTTGCTCTGGAGCCCCATCCTTCCTGAGCTGAGACAAAAAATGTGTGAGCCGGAGGCTAAAAAACTGTGAGCTAGCTCACACTAACTCAGCTTAGAGGGAACATTGCTCTGGAGCCCTCCTTCCTGAGCTGAGACAAAAATGTGTGACCCAGAGGCTAAAAAAACTGTGAGCCGGCTCACACTAACTCAGCTTAGAGGGAACATTGCTCTGGAGCCCCATCCTTCCTGAGCTGAGACAAAAATGTGTGAGCTGGAGGCTAAAAAATACTGTGAGCTAGCTCACACTAACTCAGCTTAGAGGGAACACTGCTCTGGAGCCATCCTTCCTGAGTGAAGCCAAACATGGGTGAGCCGGAGGCTAAAAACCTGTGAGCTAGCTCACACTAACTCAGCTTAGAGGGAACACTGTTCTGGAGCCCTCCTTCCTGAGCTGAGACAAAAATGTGTGAGCCGGAGGCTAAAAAACTGTGAGCCGGCTCACACTAACTCAGTTTAGAGGGAACATTGCTCTGGAGCCCCATCCTTCCTGAGCCGAGACAAAAATATGTGAGCCAGAGGCTAAAAAACTGTGAGCTAGCTCACACTAACTCAGCTTAGAAGGAACATTGCTCTGGAGCCCCATCCTTCCTGAGCTGAGACAAAAATGTGTGACCCGGAGGCTAAAAAATACTGTGAGCTGGCTCACACTAACTCAGCTTAGAGGGAACATTGTTCTGTAGCCCTCCTTCCTGAGCTAAGGCAAACATGGGTGAGCCGGAGGCTAAAAAACTGTGAGCTAGCTCACACTAACTCAGCTTAGAGGGAACACTGCTCTGGAGCCCCATCCTTTCTGAGCTAAGGCAAAAATGTGTGAGCCAGAGGCTAAAAAACTGTGAGCTAGCTCACACTAACTCAGCTTAGAGGAAACATTGCTCGCCTGATGATGGCGTCACGGTGGCTCTCCCTCCCAGCCTGGCCTTCAGCAAAGTGTCGCAGTCCGGAAGCCATCCAGATGTTTCGCCCCGATTGAGCCGTGACGTTTTTGTCCCGTGGCTGGTCTGACAGACAGCCCTCCCGACGCCTCCTCCCACGGATGCACCCGCACCAGCGTTTTCTTTGCGCACGGAACAGATGGGGCCGTGCCGTCACCACTGGGCCGCGTGACAGCCCGGGTGAAGGAAGTGATCGTTGACGCGCTATCAAATTCCACTCACTCACTCGGGGACACAGTCGGGCTGGCAGGTGAGTGACTGGATGACGCCGTGCCCACCTGGACCGCTCCGGCACGTGGCGCGGCTGACGCCAGGGACTGCCGCTCTTGTCACAGTGGAGAATCCCTCTGGAGTCGGGGGCCGCGTGTCGAGTGTAATACAGATAGCAATAATAGCGGCAAAACCGCCCATCATTTCAGCCTTATGGGTGCTTAGAGCGTGCCCCGGGAGAGCCATCGTTTGGGGAAGCATTGTGCTCTGCCCAGTGGGAATACAGCCCAGTGTGTAGCCCTCGATGGCCCAGGCTAGCCTCGTCTCGTCACATCTCAGAAGCTAAGCAGGGTCGGCCCTGGTGAGTACTTGGATGGGAGACCACCAAGGAAGTCCAGGGTTGTGTCAGGACCCACAGCGACAAAGAAGTACACACTTGCAGGAAGGTTTTACTTTATTTGAAGCTATAGATGCATGGACAGGAACACTGTTAGAAATGACAGGTTAACTATGCGCGTGAAAGGTTATAGTACATTCGTATTAGCAACACCCAATTAATATGGTTCCCGCGCGTGCCATAAGGCTTGGGAACCAACTGCTACCCAAAGCAAAACAGGTACGAGCTTCCCACGGCTCATCCTGCCTAAAGCCAAAGCGATGATCTAAGCGACTCCTCCAGCGGCCTTGAGAGATACGCGGTGCAGTATAATGGCAATCAAGCGTAGGAAAAGGAAAGTGAAAGCAAAGATCTGGCAGTTTGCTGACAGGTTGCTGTGCAGAGGCAGGCCATGGCAAACCACCTCTGTTCGTCTCTTGCCTTGAAAATCCTACAGGGTTTCCATGAGTCAGTTGTGAGTTGACAGCACCCCCTACCCCCCTCTCTCTCTCACACACACACACCTAAATGCCCTCGTCCCTGACAGGTTGGGAGCAGGGGTCACTCTGTTACATGTCAATTTGCTGTTCAGCCTGTATCTGTCCATTTGAAATCTAGCTTCCTTTCCAATGTGTTTGAAAAAGTGGGCGTGCCCACGAAAGCTCACGCCTTGAATAAACCTTTGTTGGTCTTAAAGGTGCCCCACTGGACTCTAGATTTATGGTCCTGCTTCAGACGAACACAGCTGACCACCTGGATCTATCTGTCTGGGGCAGTGATGCTCTGTCTTCTTGGTGCTGGGGGCCCCGCAGTGGGAGGGCTTCTGGAGTTCTGGCCCCGCTGGTGGACCTCCAGATGGCATCAGGGTTTGGGCCACTGTGTGACACAGAGTGTTGGACTGCACGCACCGTTGGCCTGACCCGACATGACTTCTCTTATGTCCTTATGAACACTATGTCTGGGGCAGTGGTGCTCTGTCTTCTTGGTGATTGGGGGGCCACAGTGAGTGGGCTTCTGGAGTTCTGGCCGCGCCGGTGGACCTCCTTGTGGCACCTGGTACATTTGGCCACTGTGTGACACAGAGCGTTGGACTGGATGGGCCATTGGCCTGACCCAACGTGGCTTCTGTTCGTGTGTCTGGTGCAGTGATGCTCTGTATTCTTGGTGCTTCGAGGGCAACAGTGGGAGGGGCTTCTGGAGTTCTGGCCCCACCGCTGGACCTCCTGATGGCCCCTGGTATTTTTGGCCACTGTGTGACACAGAGCGTTGGACTGGATGGGCCATTGGCCTGACCCAACGTGGCTTCCCTTAAGTTCTTAATTTCCTGTCCCTGTATTTCTTTGCAAATGTTTTCTCTTTTGATGGGAAACAGAGTTCAGGTGACGGTAGCCTCACGGTGGCTGCTCAGCTCACCGCCTGACAGTGGCAGCCATGTGGCCTCTTTGGTCATCTGTAGCATCTCTCCACAATGCATGCCAGTCCTTGCTATACCCACAACGCTTTGCAGTGCTGATCAGTTGTGGAGCTGGGGTAGAATTAGCTTCCCAGAGTCCGGAGGCTCTGCAGATCACCTTTTCGTGCTCGGCAGGCCTGGGCTTTGTACGCATCCGGACAAAACGCTGCCAAGTTTGCTTTGGACCTTGCCAGGACTAGAGCCAAGGGTGGGTGTTGATGCATGTTAGGCAGGGGGTTGTCTGGCGTGCCCCATCCTCTGTGCTGCAGGGAAACCAGTTCTTCCTGCCTTTTGACTGCCTTTGCTGTATCCCACCCCTCCACTTCACAGGAAGTGGGTCTCAGAGGAGAAGCCTATTAGTAGCTGTGAGCCCTGGGGAATCAGTGGAACCTCCCCATTCAGAAGCAGCAAACCTCTGATTCCCGGTGCCTGGAGGCAACGTCATGGGAAGGCCTCGGCCTCTGTGTCCTGTTGGCCCCCCAGGGGACCTGGTTGGCCACTGTGTGAGACTGGATGCTGGACTAGGTGGACCCTCTCTGGTCTGATCCAGCAGGGCTCTTCTGATGTTCTTCTCAGGGGAAGGCCTCGGCCTCTCTGCCCTGTTGTTGGCCCTCCAGAGGAACTGGTTGGCCCCTGTGTGAGACGGGATGCTGGACTGGATGGACCCTCACTGGTCTGATCCAGCAGGTCTCTTCTTACATTCTTATCAGGGGAAGGCCTCGGCCTCTCTGCTCTGTTGCTGGCCCTCCAGAAGAACTGGTTGGCCACTGTGTGAGACGGGAGGCTGGACTAGATGGACCCCCACTGGTCTGATCCAGCAGGGCTCTTCTGATGTTCTTCTCAGGGGAAGGCCTCGGCTTCTATGCCCTGTTGTTGCCCCTCTGGAGGAACTGGTTGGCTTCTGTGTGAGACAGGATGCTGGACTAGATGGACCCTCACTGGTGTGACCCAGCAGGGGAAGGCCTTGGGCTCTGTGCCCTGTTGTTGGCCCTCCAGAAGAACTGGTTGGCCCCTGTGTGAATGGAATAGAGACCAACGGGAGCAGCAATATAGTAACACTCATGAACAAGAAATTGCTGCAAACGTGCACACAGTAAATAAATTACACAGAAGTAAATTGATCTTGAATAATGGTGATTTTCATGAAGAATTCTTTATATTTTCAACAGGTGAACAGGTAGACAAGACGAACTTCTCGAGTGAAAGCTCGTTTCGAGTAGTCTTTCTCAAATGAGTACCAATATTACATCCATGTGTATCAAATCCGACAATAAAAGTCTTTGAATCAAACGATCTCCTACACCCAGCTATATAGCTACACAAAAACATTTCCGATGGACAGATAGTCTTCAACCCCTGTGGCCCCTGTGTGAGACAGGACGCTGGACTAGATGAACCTTCCCTGGTCTGAGCCAGCAGGGCTGTTCTGATGTTCTTAAGAGAATCTGGTGTACTTCTGGGAAGCGGCACCAGATGGCAACGACTGCCCCATTTCCTAAAGCTGCCCCTGCATGCTTGGTTCATTTGCACCGTTTGGGTTGCTTTCGCCCCTCTCCCCTTGGGTGGGCCTTTGCCGAGTGCCCCCAGCAGCAGGTTGCTGGAAGTCTGCAGCGCCGTGGTTGCAAGTCACGGGTCTAATTTATTCGGCTCCCCAGCCAGGCGTGTGACAGTTTCTCCTCTTAACTTGTTTGCTCGGGAAGACGAGGGCAACACCTCGGCCCTCTGGAGAAGAGCTGATTTTTACCCTGTGTGAACTTTACACAATGCCTCACGCCGGGTGTTAATCGATAGGAGACTGAGCTCCTGGCATATTCCGTCTCCGAATGAGCTCTAATTAGCATTTGCTTTGTTTCTCTCGTTCCTGAACAGCACGACTCGATTTTGCACACAGCAGCCCTGGCTACACTCCACCCGGTTGCCCCAGCAGATCAGCCACCAGCCGATATATCGCAAGGTCAGTATTTCCCCAAAGGGGAGAGGGCGCTTCCCCAGATCTCTAGTGTCTCAGGCAGAGATCTGTCCTAGCTGGGCTCTTGAGCCTTCCTAAGTGAACCAGGAGTTGTCTTCCATTGGTTCAACAAAAACCGAGGGGGA